GGGGGAAGCTTTGAAGGAATTTGGGGGGGCTTCCCTTAAAAGGGATGAGAATTAAGGGAGATTTAGAGTTTGGGGGGTCCTGCAAATCTTCCTCCCAACATTAATAATGGAGCATTTTTGCTCTGCTGGCTCAAGAGATGCACCGCTGCTCTTTTGGGGGCAAAAATGCCCGGCATTTAATATTTCACAATTTTAAAGGGTATAACTTTATAAGCTCCAAAGCTCCTGTCCTGGACCCATTCAGCCTTTTTTTTCTTTTTTTGAAAATTAAATTTGCCTAGATACAGGCATCTACCTGGGTCTGGGAGTTTGAAAGCATCCACAGGTGGGTGTGCAAATATTGAATTTATCCATTTGTTTTGGGCAATGCCTGGTGCATCACGTGCAGGATCTCAAGGGGGGAATTTTGTACACCTTTGAAGTCTGGAAATTTCTCTTGGGGGGGTGGGCTTGTGTTATTGGTGAAACTTGGGGCAGGGGAAAGTTGTTAAGAGTGTGACACTGGCACTGGATAAAGTTAACCTTTGATTCGCTTTGTTCTCGGTTTTCTGCTTTATTCCTCAATTCTGTGCAACCCTTGGGCTGTCCTAAGGCATCGGGGAAAGGCATCGGGGAACTTCGCCATCCGTAAATAAATGCCCACATTGTGTGAACTTGATTAAAGCAGAAAAGCTGAATTGTTAGAAGACGAAAGTTTAAAGATCTTTATTGATTTGTTTTCCTCCTTTTATTTTCACCCCGGGCCCTTCTAATCTTTGAGAAATTTGTAGGTCGCAGAAACAGCCAACCAACTATATTGTTACCATTTCCTTTTTATAAAAAAAAAAAGAAGGACCCCAAACTTTTTATTATGCTTTTCCAGAGGTGAGGGAAGAAGGAGTGCCACACATTGGGGGCATTCTTGGGTTTTGAGGTGGGGGGGGGGCTGGTTAGAAAGTTCGGTGTCTTTGCTAAAGTTTTGCTTAGTTTTGGATTCCAGGCAAACCACTTAATGCTGCCTTTTGCATTTGAATTGGTGCCCTCCAGAAAGGCTAAATCACTTGTTGCTATTCAGAAGTGGTCATCTGCCTTGATGCCCAGGGATAATGCCCATTGTGGGCTCCCCCAGTGGCTCTTTCTCCTGCCCTTGGTTTGTTATGCTTAAGAAGCCCATCGCTATTGTATTTTCATTAAAATTAACCTCCCTTCCCCCTTGAGTGAGCTTGGCCACCACCGGAGAGTCTATTTTTTTCTTTTTCTTTTCCTTCTCCTGGCCTCCCCGCTTAGTATTTTAAAGTTAGCAGATGGTCTTGTCTTAATTCTCTTAAATGGACTGGAATTTAATCTCTTGCCAGACATGGCTAGGCCGGGTCGGGTGGGGGGGGGCAGCTGCCGTGGGCGTTAATTAATCTGGAATAGTGACTCTCCATGAAGGCAATGAAAAAAAAAACTTGCTTCTCGCCCAGCCCTGTTTCCAGAGTGGTTTTCCAGTGGGGGATCTGCCCCAGTTTTGGGGGATGGGGAAGAGGGTGACCCGTCTCCCCTAAGGGAGCAGCAGCGTATTCCGGCTGGAAAATTGGAAAATTCACACATCTTGAGTGTTTGTTCAGGCCCCTGCCCCAAGAGTATTCCAGGGTAGGTGTGAAGAGGTAAAAAGGAGAGAGGAGGGAGGGTAAACATGCACAGTCTGTGGTGCTCAGGAGACGGAAAGCAGGCTTTGCAAGATGCTGTGGGCCGTGAAATAGCATCTCAGTTAACATCCGGTGGGCTTCTGCAGGGTGACTATTTTCCCAGCTTCTTCCCTGGTTGTCCCTCCTCTGGATTAATTTTCCACCGTCTCCCAAAACCTAGAGCCTTGCTCAAGAAGAAAGAGTTCCTCTGCTCTCCTTGGGTGGGGTGCAAGTGAATAGACCCCATTGCACCCCGATGCCCAATCGCTGGCTATAAATATTGGGGCTTTCTTTCCAGCCACTCTGCTTCCCCCCCCCCCCATGACTTCAGTGCCCTAATATCCCAGACTTCCAACCCCAAAGACATACCCATGTAATTTTCCATCACGCGGGTCCATATTTTAATTTTTGCAATCAGGCAAAAGGGGGGCAGGTGTGTTGCACATTTGCTCTGGACAAGCGCTGATTCCCAGCGGGGAGGGGGGGGCAGCTGTTCCCAAGAGCCGGCTGTTGGGTGCCGTGTGCGAGACACCCTGGCAGGCGTGGAGCAAAATAGCAGGAGATCCAGCTGTTCCTCCAATAGACTGGCAGCTAATTGTTGCCTATTAGAATGCCCTCCTAAGCCTGGCAGTGGCTTGATTTAAATTTAAATCTCTCCCAGGGGGAAGCCCAGCCTTTAGGATTTAAGAGATCGGGAAATCGGCTAGGGCAATCCCCTTAAATCTGGAGAGATCCGAAAGCTTTCCTTCCCGTACTGCTTGCCTGGCTCTCTGCCTCAACAGTTGTGAGCAGGGGGTGTCAGTTGGTTTGAGAAGAGGAAGATTTGTGTGTATCTTGGTGTGACTCTGTTTTGGCTCCTGGGTCAAGGAAACCGGTCTGCTTGGGACTGACGTGCAGGGATTATGAGCGGTCGCCCTTAGGAAAGCTTGAGTGTCACCTCCGTAGATTTTGCCCATCGTGGGAGATTATCAGATGTTCCTGCACTTATAAAATAACTTTAGCAGAGCTGGGGTTGGGGGGAACAGTTGTGGAATAACTTGGTATGGACAAGTTGGTTTTTTAGTCTGAAGCTGTAACTGCTACTTCAAAGTCTCCCTGAAAGAGGAGAGAGAGCTTGGAGGACCCGTAATGGGGGTCCAGCAGACAGACCCCTGCCCGTGTTGCTCAGGACACATTGAAAAGGCTTGGGTCCTTGGGCCTTGCCTCACTTCGTGCCAGATTCAGCCTTTTGGGCGAAGGGGATCCCCGTCTCGGCTAGCCTTGGCTTCAAAAAATAAAGGCCGCCCCGCCAAGATGCCCAAACGTTACCGTGGCCAGTGGCTGCCAGCGCAGATCAGTAGTTCAGCTTTTGTGGCCTGAAACTTGGGGCAAACCTGCTGCTGGAGGAGCCGATGCTGCGTGGCTCGGGGTGCGGGCTGGGGGGGGGTGCGCCTAAGGAGCTGTGCCACGGTGGCTAGTGGGTTGGCACATCTTTCTTGGAGCAGAAGCGTCCCCCACCCACCCCAGGCCTGGGTCAGGCCTTCCTCTCCCTCCGAGGGGTCCCTGCGCCCCTCTCATAGGCCTCCCCCACTTCCAGAGGCAGAGAAAGGGGGTGAGTGAAGGGCAGGGACCTCCCCTGGCCTCTCCCCCTCTGCCATCCCTTGGCATGGCGGAGCCTTTTCTTCACCCCGGCGTCCCTTCCTCCTCCCTTTATGCAGCCAGCCCTGGTTTTATCTCCCGCCGGGAGCCCCTTCGGCCTTGCGTGCTCCACGGGGGCGGGAAGGGGGAGCTGCTGCTAACCCCTGGTTTTCTAGCGTCAGCAGATGGCCCAGCAGCCCCCTGCCTTTGGGGAGGGGGGAGATAATTGCCCAACGTGACTGGCAGGCCTGGTGCTGGAGAGGAGCAGAGCTGCGGGGAAAGGTAGCCCTGCGTCCCCTCCTGGGAGACTTGGGTGCTTGTTTTCCTCCACCGTGGCTTCCCTCCCTGTTCTTCCCTCTGCAGCTGGCGCTGGGAGGCCGGGCAGAGCGACTGCGCCAACCTCCCTCTCCCCCCAGGCGGCACCTGGCTTGCTGGCCTGGCAGGAGCCAAAGGCCCTCAGCCGCCGTCCCCCCTCCTCCTCTTCCTTCTCCGCTCCTCTGCCCGTCTCCCGCCCTGGTTCCTGGTCTCCAGGGCGCTTCCCTGCCAGGTTAGTGCCGCGATTCTGCAGGTGCCCGTTGCCAGCGTGGCTGGAGAGACACCCACGGCACCCTCGCTGGTTGCTTCTCCCCCTCCCGATGGGGAAGGAGGCGGATTTTGCCCGCTGGCTGCACAGAATCTCAGGCGGGCAGAGGGGTCCCCCCCCAGTTTGGAAAACAGCTCTCTCGTCCTCTGAGATTAGCCAGGAAATAAAAACTATGTGAACTCGGACGCTGCCCTAAGAGTGATTGAGAATTAAATTAGCCGGCCTGTAAATTTGTGAATTGATGGAGGGTGAGAACCATCCCAGATCAAAGCCAGGGCTCGCTCCAGGGGGTCGGTTTGGGCTCCAAAAAGGCCTCCCCAGGTAGGTTTGCAGAGAGCTGCAGGTAAGGGGCGAGGCTGCCCTCCCACCTCTGGAATTGCCCAGCCAAGAGAAATTTCCAAACTTCAAAGGTGTACAAAATCCCCCCTTTGAGATCCTGCATGCGATGCACCAGGCATTGTCCAAAACAAATGGATACATTCAATATTTGCACACCCACCTGTGGATGCTTTCAAACTCCCAGACCCAGGTAGATGCCCGTATCTAGGCAACTTTATTTTTTAAAAAAAAGAAAAGGCTGAAAGGGTCCAGGGCAGGAGCTTTGGAGCTTATAAAGTTACACAGGCAAAGAGCCCTTTAAAATTGTGAAATATTAAATGCCGGGCATTTTTGCCCCCAAAAGAGCAGCGGTGTCTCTCTTGAGCCACCAGAGCAAAATGCTCCATTATTCCCTGTTGCAGGGGCTGTGTCCCCCAGGAGCCCCCTCCTTAGACTTTCCTGGTTGTAAGCCGAGGACTACCTGCCCTCCCCCTCGGAGGAAGGCTCTTAAGCCCGTTGTTCTGCTTTTTGGCTTTCAGCTCCATCCGTCTGCCTGGGGCCTCTGTGGGGAGATGGCCGGCCGGCCGGCCCAGTTTCCAGCTCGTGGGGGAGCAGCCGCGACCGGCAAGGGGCAGCTTTGACCCGGTTCCTCTCGCAAAGGGGCTTCGCCGCTGCTCCTTGAGTTCCAAGAGCCCCCCTCGCCCCTCGCCATGGGGGACATGAAGACCCCGGATTTCGACGACCTCCTGGCGGCCTTCGACATCCCCGACATCGACACCAGCGAGGCCATCCATCCGGGCCACGAGGAGGCCGAGGCGCCCATCCGTCCCGTCCCGGGGGAGGCGGCCGCCCCCGAGCACGTCCTCCCGCACGCCGACATCACCACCGTCAGCGTCATCGTGAAGAACACTGTCTGCCCTGAGCAGCTGGAGCCAGGGGACGGGCGCCTGAAGGACAGCGCGGGCGGCCCCCGCCTGCTGCAGAACGGCTTTGCGGCGCCCGAGCTGCCCCGGGCCTCCCCGGTGCCCTCGGCGGAACCCGCAGCCCCCGCCAATGGCGAGTGCTGGGCCCTGAAGGAGAAGGCCCCCAAGAGCCTGGACCTCTTTTCCCCCTTCAGCCCCGAGCCCCACAAGGAGGGGGAGGCAGACCTGATCGACCAGCCCCGGGGTGGCAAGGGGAGGGAGCAGCCGGGCCTTGCCGGGGCGGCCATTGTCCCGGCCCCCATCTTGTCTGCTGGCCCCTCCCTGGACTGCCCCCCAGCCGTTCAGGAGAGCCTGGGACCCTCGTCCCCTCCGGCTTTCCCTCCGCCTTTTGAAGCGTGCCCGCCGGGTGGGGTGGGCCTCTCGCTGACCCCTCCTCCTGCTCCTCCTGCTCCCGTTCTGGCTTCTCCTACGATCAAGCAGGAAGTGGACTGCGAGATGCCTTGCCAGGGGTCCAGCCCCTTGGAGCGACCCACGCCTGGCTCCTCCTGCTACTCCACGGAGACCTCCCCCCGGGTCCCCTGGCCTGGCTCTGAGGCAGACCTGGAGGGGGAGCTCGGCAGCCTCCCCGACATCAAGCACTCGCTCTCCAGCCCTCGGGAGCATCTCTTCCAGGGTTCCCCGCGGAAGGGAGCCAGTCCTGGGCCTCTGGTCCCCCCAAAACCCCCCGGCGGAGGACCCCTGAAAGAAGAGCCGATGGAAAAGCCACTGCAGTGCCCGCCAGTCCCTTCCAGCGGGGGGGAGGAGGAAGAGGAGGAGGAGGAGGATGGGGAACAGGAGGACCAGAGTACCGGTTCCCCCTCGTCCGGTTCCTCACGGCCCCTCAAGGTGAGGATCAAGACTATTAAGACGTCCTCGGGAAGCATCACCCGGACGGTGACCAGGGTCTCGTCGGACGCTGAGGCAGGGCTCGCCAAGCTGTCCTCGGATCCGGGCGGCCCGGAGACCCCGGCAGCCGAGGACGCCCTGCTCCCTGCCGTCAGCCAGAAGGAAGAGGCTGCTCCGGAGAACCCCAGCCTGAGGGCTCTGGTGTCCAGCCCCGTGAAGGTGACGGAGGGCCCCAAGCTGGTCAGCGTCCAGCTGGGCGACGGCACCAAGCTCAGGGGCACGGTGCTGCCCGTCTCCACCATCCAGAACGCCAGCAGCGCCATGCTCATGGCGGCCAGCGTGGCCCAGCAGAAGGCCGTGGTGCTGCCCAGCAAGGCTTTGGCCAAGAACGTCCTCAGCCTGGTGCCCCAGCCCCTCCCCAAGGCCGCCGAGGTCCGGGCCGGGGCGGGCGCCGTGCCCGCCCCCGCCAGCCAGAAGGTCAACGGCACCACGGTGGTAGCCCTGCAGCCCCAGAAGCCCTCGCCCCCCGTGGCCGGCACGGTCATCTCCCGCAGCCAGTCCAGCCTGGTGGAGGCCTTCAACAAGATCCTCAACAGCAAGAACCTGCTGCCCCCCTACAAGCCCAACCTGCTGCCCCCCGCCGAGTCCAGCCTGAGCCTGCCGCCGCTGGGCTACCGCTGCCTGGAGTGCGGCGACGCCTTCGCCCTGGAGCGCAGCCTGGCCCGGCACTACGACCGGCGCAGCCTGCGGGTGGAGGTGACCTGCAACCACTGCGCCAAGCGCCTGGTCTTCTTCAACAAGTGCAGCCTGCTGCTCCACGCCCGCGAGCACAAGGACAAGGGGCTGGTCATGCAGTGCTCCCACCTGGTCATGCGGCCCATCGCCCTGGACCAGATGATCGGCCAGCCGGACGTGGCCCCGCTGGTCTCCCTGGCCTCCCTCAGCGCCAGCAAGGCGGCCTCCCCGGCCGGCCCAGCCCCGGACGCCAGCCCGGCCCAGGGAGGCCCCGCCCAGGACATGCCCGTCCTGCCCCTGAGCGGGAGCAGCGCTGACCAACCGCCGGCCACCAACTCCTGTCAGTGCCTGGAGTGCAAGGAGCAGTGCAAAGACAAGGCGGGTCTGGCCGCCCACTTCCAGCAGGCCGGAAGCGCCGGCTCCACGGTAAATGAGGGGGAGGGGCTGGGTGGGCAGGCAGCCGCTGGACTCGAACCCAGGGTGTCTCCGGGTTGGTTGGACCCTCGGCTCTCCCAGGCCTTCCGCACCGGAGGCTTTCAAAAAGAGACCGGACAGCCACAGGGTGTCCTTGGGCAGGTGGTTGATAAAGGAACGCGCCCCCCCATCTGCTTCCCCCCCTCCAGGTGTGCAACAGCTGCCCGATGATCATGGCCAACCGCTGCAGCTTCAGCGCCCACCAGCGCATGCACAAGAGCCGCCCGCCCCACGTCTGCCCCGAGTGTGGCGGGAACTTCCTGCTGGCCAACTTCGACGCCCACCTGAAGGACGCCTGCCTGCATTTCTCCCGCAGGATCGGCTACAGGTAGGAGGGGGCGGGGTCCTGGGCCGCTCTCACCTGCCCTCCCCCCTCCCCGCGGATGGACCGAGGGCTCTGCCTCTCTCGGTGGCCGCAAAACGGACTCCCCACTTGGGGCCTGAAGGGCGAACGCTGGCCGGACCCCCAAGCTCTCCCCTGCTCTCCTCCCCTCCCCCCAGGTGCCCCAGCTGCTCGGTGGTCTTCGGCGGCGTGAACTCCATCAAGTCCCACATCCAGACGTCGCACTGCGAGGTCTTCCACAAGTGCCCCGTCTGCCCCATGGCCTTCAAGTCGGCCCCCAGCGCCCACGGCCACATCTACACCCAGCACCCGGGCTTCAGCAGCCAGCAGTCCAAGTAAGGTGCCGCCAGGGGTCGCGGCGGGGGCCTCTGAGGGCAGGAAGGAGACACCCCCCTCTTACAGCCCTCCCTCCCTCTCTCCCCCCCAGGATGATCTACAAGTGTGCCATGTGCGACACGGTCTTCACGCACAAGCCGCTGCTCTCCTCCCACTTCGACCAGCACCTGCTCAGCCAGCGGGTCAGCGTCTTCAAGTGCCCCAGTTGCCCTTTGCTCTTCGCCCAGAAGCGGACCATGCTGGAGCACCTCAAGGTGAGGGGGGGGGCCCGGCTGGAGCCGGGAAGGGGGGGCAGGGAAGGACCCAGCCTGACCGCTGCCTCCCTCCGCACCGCAGAACAACCACCAGCAGCAGCTGCCGCCACCGAAGCCGAAGGAGGAGCCGGGGAAGCAGGCCGCCCCCGCCGCGCCCACCGCCCCCAAGCAGGGGCCGGCGGAGGAGGAGCCCCCGCCGCCCGTCTCCAAGCCCCCCTCCTCCTCCTCGTCCTCCTCTTCCTCCTCCTCCTCAGAGGACGACCCCCCCAGCTCCCCCGAGGTGCGCAAGAGCAAGCGGGGCCGGTTCCAGCGCAAGGCGGAGCTGGGCAGGCGGTCGCGGAGCAACGGCTGGACCTGCGGCATCTGCCACTCCTGGTTCCCGGAGAGGGACGAGTACGTGGTGCACATGAAGAAGGTCCACGGGAAGGTGAGGAGGGGGGGGCCTTCCTGCTGGGGGGGGCTGGGGAGGAAGAAGTTGGGAAGGGGGTGTCATAACCTTCCTCCCTCACCCTGACCTCTCTTCCCTCTCCCCCCTTCCCAGTGCGTGAAGAAGTTCCCCTGCCATCTGTGCGAGCGCTCCTTCTGCTCCGCGCCCAGCCTGCGCAGGCACATCCGGGTGAACCACGAGGGCATCAAGCGGGTCTACCCCTGCAGGTTGGTGCCCCCGTCCCCCAGCCCCGTGTGTGTGGGGCGTCCCCGGGGTTCCCCTGGGCCGCCACCCCAGCTCCCCTTCCGCTCTGCTCCCTTCTCCAGGTACTGCACCGAGGGCAAGCGGACGTTCAGCAGTAGGCTCATCCTGGAGAAACACATCCAGGTGCGGCACGGGATCAAGGTGACCGACGCCAACCGCAGCCAGGAGGTGCTGGCCACCCGCTTGGGCTCCAGGAACGCCCAGGTAGGCAGGGGCGGGCAGGGGCAGCCGGGGGGGGGCTCCCTGCCCGAAAAGAGCTGGCCCATACAGCCCCCGATTCAGGGGAGGCCGAGAAAGGCAGGCTGGCCACGTTTCTTTCCAACAGCCAGAATATGGCTCGGTTGCCGAGAGGGAGTCCTCGGCTTACGTTGTTAAGCGAGACAGATGTGTGTGTGGTTTTTGCCCCATTTTAGAGTCCTAGTCAAGTTTTTTTCAGAGCCATGGTAACTTCGAACGGACGCTAAATGAAATATTATAAGTCAAGGACTCTCCGTCCTTGAATTTGGCTCCTTTAGGCTCAGCGCTCTCCGTTTTTGTTCCAATCCTGCCAAAGAGAGAGAGTTGCCCCCTCCCTCCCTCCCTCCCTCCCTCTGTGGCCGGACACTCTTGGTCACCCTGCCCTCTCCCTTTGCCCTGCAGGTGTCCGGCCGGAAGCGCAAGCTCTCCTCGGACGACGGGGACTCGTGCAGCGAAGAGCCGGACAGCACCACCCCGCCCTCCAAGACCCCCAAGGGCGGCCGGCGGCCCCTCTACCACTGCCGCAAGTGCGGCTACGTCGCCCCTACGGCGGCCGACTTCCAGGAGCACATCCCCCGGCACCGGACAGGCGAAAGCGCCCACCAGTGTCACGAGTGCGGACTCTGCTTCACCTCTCAGGTCTCCCTCAACCGCCACCGCTTCATCACCCACAAGAAGAAGCGGGGCGCGGGCGAGGGGGAGGCCGGCGCCCCTCAGGGAGGAGGGGGGACGGAGGAGGGGTCGCCCTCCGCCACCGAGGGGAGCCTCTCCTGCACCGTCTGCGGCAAAGGCTTCGACACCCAGCTCAACCTCAAGACTCACTTCCGCACCCACGGCATGGCCTTCATCAAGGCCCGACAGACCGGGGGGGCCGAGAACTAGCCGGGCCCCGGAGCCGTCTTGGGGAGGGGGGGAGAACGTCCCCCTCACGGCTCCTTCTGTGGCTTGAGTGCGAGATGTTGTGACGGAGACGAGGAACGGCGCCTTATTTATCGTCCTGGCACAGCTTTCTGTGGCTGCCCTCGGGAGGGGCCAGGGGCACCCTCGCCCCCCCCCCAGGAGTGAGCCCTGTAGGTGGGCCGTCTCCACTTCGGCAGGGATGGCTGGACTTCAGCCCTCCTATTCCTGCCCTGTCTCAGCAACATGGGTGTTGAAGTACGATGCATGAAGAGGACACGCGTGTTTGCGTGAAAGGCAGGTTGCGCTGGTTCTTCGTCCGTCACCACTCCGGTTTCCCTTTCCTCAGAATTACGGGCTCTTTTCGGTTCTGATGCTTGTCCACCTTCGGGCGGTTTCCCCCTCTGCCCTGGCCAGATCATGGCTTGTTTCACTTTCTGTCCCAGGAAAAAAAAGGAAGCCGGCTTGAACGTCTCCTCCACCGGCTAATGATGGCCAACTCAAAGCCAAGAAAACGCTTCTCTCCCTTTTCCAACACCATTCCAGGTCCCAGAATTTGGAGGTGCACTCTTGGCCCCCGTTTCTCGCCCTTAGCACGGTGCCCTCCCAGCATTGGGGGGGGGGTGTCTTCACCTGGCAGTCCCCCCAGTCTTTGCTGGAGTCCAAAATATCTCAGGAGCTGCTGGTGCTTTGGGGGCAAAAAAAAAAAAACCCAGGCAAGGCCACACCTTGATTTTACAAGCAACAGACGTGTTGCTTGTAAAATCCAGTATTTGCGGGGTCTGGGCGAGGTGGCTGCACCTGGTGGGTGGGATGGGGGGGGGACACAGGACACCGAAATTGGTTCCTGTGAGCAGGAAGAGGGGGGTGTCTTTCTCTCCAAATGGGCAGGTAGCCAAATCTACCCAACCTCCTTATGGATGGCTGCCCCCCCAGTTCGGTCCCTGGGCTCCCAGGAGGGATCAGGATAATCGGATTATTTGTCTGCCCCCATGATTTTTAGAGTCTGTTTTTCCCCCCCCACACACACTCAATCCCTTCACTTTTCCTACCAAAACCCCCCAATTTCTTTCTAGCCCCCTCCTGACCCCCCCGGGCGTTCCTCAGTCGAACTCCGAGGCGCGGCGTTCCCACTCGGGAACTGCCAGATGCTCCGCCTTTCCTTATCAGAACAGTTCAGACGACGGCTGCGGGTTCAAGAGAGGCGCGTTTCTGTGCTTTGGGCCTTCTGGAATCATGAAAACGACTCTGGTTCTTTTTTTTTGTCTTAAAAGGTGTTTTCTTTGTGGGAAAGGGGTGTGTGTGTGTGTGTATGTGTGTCTCTTGATTTGTGTTTATTTTAGTTCCTGGGTTTGGTTTGGGTTCTTTTTTTTGGGGGTTTTGTTTTTTTGGAGTTGTCACTAATGCAGACTAACGAAGCGAGGCGTGTGTCCTTTAAACCAATCATGTAACATATACTTTAAAAAAAAAACTGAATGAATGAAAGCAAACAGGTTGAGTGACTGGTGCTAACTGATTATTTCTCCCCCCCCCCCAAGGAGCCTGTGAGCAGAAAGACCCTTTGCTGGTCGGTTAAAAAAGAAGAAAAGAGGGCGGGAGATGGGTTAAAATTAGGTTTTTATTATCGTTTGCTTAGGAGGCCCCTGTTAAACCAGCACTCCTGGCTTAAGGGATTGTGCAAATAATTTTCTTGGCTCTGGGGGGGTGGGGGGGTGTTTGGCAGCTCTGGCAGGCCAGAGGCCGGTGGTCTTCAGCCCTCCAGGCCTCCGTGGGGTGAATTTTTCCCTCTCCCAACCCCGGGGACTGTGCCCAGATTGTGGCTTCCCTTTTTTCCCAGGGGCCAAACTTGGCGTCTTGAGCCGGTTGCGGTTCCTTTGGAGTTGCAGAGCTCCAGGTTTCTGGCCAGTAAATTCCATGCGCGCATCACGCTAACCCAGTCTGCTTCCTTTAATCATGGTTTGTCGGAGAAACCCTCCCGTTTCTCCCCTGACGCCAATCGTGGGAACGTTTTACCCTGGAAGGCTCTCCCGGGGGAACACGAGGTGATATTTTTTTTTTTTTTTTAGAAAAAGAAAAAAAAAGGAAAAAGGAAAAAAAAAACACCATGCAGCTATAAATAAAATCCATTTTCAGAAAGGGCCTCCATGTACATAATTTATTTCACTCGCGTTCTCTACATACGTTGCACGTGCGGCCCGCCAGTTTCAGGAGATCCCACAGGGGAGGGGCTTTTCTCTGGGAAGACTGGATTCACACAGGTCGACAAGAAACGGGGGGGGGCGCGCCCCAGCCCCTCCCGGCGTGGCACCTTTGAAAATCCGAGGCTTCGCCACGTCGTTTTAAAATTTCCCAATTTTTTCCCTGCTTTTTAAAACATTTTAAGAGTTCTTTTTTTCTTTCCCAGCAACCTATTTCCCCCCCCCCACACACACACACATTAAAGGTCCAGCAGGCTGGCATCCATTGGTGTGGTTTTTAATACAGGCGGGCAGCCATTTGCGTCTTGGAACGCTCGTTCCTGCCCAGTTGGCCGCTTTCAGAGGGCACCGAGTGCCACCAAATTCCTCCAGGCCTTTCCTTGCTCTCCTACGAGTGTCTGCTGCATCCTGCAGGAAGCTCCAGGTCTTTTCCATCCACCAAGCGAAAGCCGTGGGTCGGTCCCTCGTGCCAGCGCAGGAGAGGGGCAGTGCCAGCCCTATCTCAGAGCTTCTCCACGTAATTCCCTGGGAACACCCCTTCTTTGCCGCGGATGCGGCCTTCCCACCATCCCGACGGATCTGGAAAGAGGAGGAACACCTTTGTTGCGCTTAGGACTTCCTGGACCCCTTCTCCCACCCCTGCTGGAGACTCCTGGCCAGCCCCTGAAGCCCCTACCCCTTGGGGGTAGCCCACCAAGCGAAGCAGCTGTGCGAACGGCCTCCAGATGCCCCGGGAAGCCTCACCTTCCTTGACGATTTCAATGACGTCGTTGGCGTTGAAGCTGAGCTCATCCGTGTCCTGGGCGTCGTAGGCGTACAGAGCCCGGCACCGGGGAAGGCACGGCTGCGGTTTGGGCTTCGGCTTGGGCTTGGCACGGCCCCCGCCTGGGAGGGGTTTGGCTTCCTTGCTAAGGTGGCGCCGGAGGCTGGAAGAAGGAAATTCTGGGAGTTATAGTCCACCCGTCTTAAGAGTTGCCCAGGTTGAGAAACTTTGCCAGCTGGAGAAACTCTTGGCAAAAATGGAAAGTCCCTCACCCAGCTACCCCTTGATCTGGGACATCCATGAAGCCCAGGTCAAGCGGCGCAGGGAAGGCTCTGGCACGCGGACTGGCTCCCTGCCGCGGCAGGCTGGGCTGCTCCATGCTGGCCTGGCGGGTCATGGAGTGGCGGTGCTGGACGGAGGTCCTCGTCCCCCGGCCCTGGCCGCCCCACGCCGAGCCTGCAGAGAAGGAGAAAGAGCCAGTTTTCGCCCTCTGTTGCAAGCGCCAAAAAAAGCTGGCATGTAGCCACAACTCAGCGGGCAAGGAAACGCAAGTTACCTGTGCTGGTCTGGGCATTCCAGCCGAGGGCAGGGCCTCCCGCTGAGTATCGGCTTTTCCTGGTGTCCTTCCGGTTTGGGCCTGAAAAGTTTGCAAATAGGTCCTTAAAAGTTTGCAAATAGGCCCTGAAAATTTTGCACAATAAATCCTGCAAATTTTGCAAAATAAGTCCTGAAAATTTTGCAAAATAAGTCCTGAAAATTTTGCCAAATGTGTGTCTGTGCCCTCCTTGCCTTCTCCATCACTGTCTGGCCCGCCTCAAATCTCCCTTCCCCGACTTACGGGCATTGCGGGCTAGGCCAGGCCCAATGCTGACCACAAGGACTTTCCCATTGGTGCGGAGAAGAGCCAGATCCCCCTGGCAGATCTGGAATTGGATCTGGCGGGAGCCGGCTGCCCCCCAGGGCCCCCAGCCGTCTTTCTTCACCTTGAACTCCAGCCTGGGGTGAGGGGGGGGGAAACACACAGAGAGAAAGGGAGTTTTGGGGACGCAGGCAAGGGCAGAAACTGGGGTGCTCCTTTCTGAGGTCAGAGCGCCCCGTGAAGTTCAGGTTCAAGTCCTCAGTACTGCTAAGCAGTTTGCAACCTCCGCTTTCTGGGATGTTTTTGACTGTGGATCTCCTGATGGTGTCCCATCCCTAATTCGGGGGGGGGGGGAAACAACTCAGGGCTGCCCCCGTCTCCTTAAGAAAGTCACCCAAAGGAGAATTTTGTAGTGATGATTCTCTTCTCCCTAGGGCTGGAAATGTGGCCTGGAAACCCTCCATATCCAGGAGCAGTCTACCCCAGAATCCCTAACGGTCTTGGAAAAGAGCCCCTCCCTGCTCCCCCTGCCCCTGGGAAAGAGGGGGGGGCTGCTGCTGCTGCGTACTGGTTGCTGAACTTGATGGGCAGCTGCTTCTGGGTCCTCTCCCCGTATCGCTTGAAGAGCAGGCTGAGCAGCTCCGTCTTAAAGACGGACTCCAGGACGGTGTCGTACTGGGACTCGTGGATGATGAGGAAATCGTCCTGCAACATGCTGGGATGGGAGGGAGGGGGAAGCATGATCAGGAGGGGGGGGGTCCTGTTTGCACGGCAGCCGTCGGGTTTGGACTGCTCCCCCCTCCCCAAAGTCCCCTGGGAAGGGGTCCTTGCTTGGGAGGGGGGCCCTCACGCCGGCAGGTGAAGAATCCGCAAATGTCTGGGATTCGTTCCCCAGTTCAAGTGGCAGGGAGTCCCACAGCCTCCCTAGAGGACAAGGGCTTAGGGAAGCCTCTCCCTCTTCCGATCCTTCCCTGCTCACCTGAGGGAGACCGACTGGATCCTCTCCACCTCCAGCCGCCTCTTGAGGACCTCCTTAATGGCCCCCTTCTCGGGGCCCTGCTTCACCTTCTCCCGCCCGATCAGGTAGAGGAATTTGGGGGTCAGGATCAGGTCCCGCTTGACCGTCTGCGAGAGGGACACAGAGGAGGGGGTCAGTCCCCAGGAAGGCTGGCACCAGGGGGGGGGTGTCTTCTCCAGATGTGCCTGGCCAGCGGTGCCCAGGTGCCCCGTCCACCCAGAGGGCAGCTCCCCGAGGCCAAATTCTGCCACGAAAGCTCTTGAAAAGAGGCCACAGTGCAGAGCCTCCAGCCACAGGCACGGCCTATCTGATGCCCGTAGAGAGGAGGCAACCGGAAAGCGGCTAGATCCGGCCGTGTCGCGGCTGACCTTGAAGCGCCGGTCGTACTTGGTGACGGTGTCCGCAAAGTCCACCCGCTCCCTGCGGCCCAGAAACCGGCGCAGCTCCGGGCGGTTGTCCAGACCCAGGTAGTCGCCCATGAAGTTGCGGTTCAGGCTGTTGCGACGGCGCTCCTTCTTGTTGAGGACGAGGTTGGACGCTTTGGGGGGGGGAGGGAAGGAAAAACCGGGGTTAGGCCCGGTTGCAATAGGCACAGGGTGCAAGGTGCGAGGCGCTCCTCACATGCTCAGAGGCCAGCTGGCCCTTCATCTGCAGCAGCAGATAAGCTTCTCCAAAGGGCAGGTAAAGGCTGCCCTCTGGTGGCTCATGTTGGTCACTGCACGTGGGCAGGAAAATTAAAAACCCAATTTTGAATTCGCCACCAAACCAGAAAAAGGTGTGTGTGTGTGGGGGGGATTCTGCCCTTTCTCATCCCCCTGGAACCAAGTGAGGTGGCAGGGGATGCTCCTGGGGCTGCAGCCCAGCCAAAGCACCACCTTTTTTGCCTGCAACTCCTCCACCCGACCCTGCTGCCCCCCCCCTCACCTTCTTCTCTCATCTGCATGTTTTTGCGGACAGCCACGTGTTTGCGCCAGGCCTTCTGGATCACCCGGGCGAAGCCGTCGTAGCGCCGTTCCCGCATCTCCTCCAGCAGGAAAAGCTGCAGGGGGAGCCCAGCGTTGAGGGCCAGGCAAGTGGGCACGGGGGGGGGGAGACGGTCCCCATTTCCCTCCCCGAGGGAGTCACTGCCCTTTTGCACCCCCTGGGGAGGGAAAACACCCTCTCTGCCTTCCAGGAGGGTCTCCCGACGCTCACCGATTCGGGGGCTTTGATGAACACCTTGGTCCGCCCCAGCTGGAACTGGTCGAGGTCCATGTTGACCGACTTCATCAGGTGCACCACGCCCTGCCTCTCGTCGCCACGCCAGCACGGCCACGTCTCCGGTGTCAGGATGGCGTACCTGGACAAGGGGAGGGGAGGATGGACCCTCTTGGGTGCCGCCCTTCGGTCCAAGCCGGGCACCACGGACAGAGCAATTCCTCAGAGGTGCCCAGAAGATCCAGCTTCAGCAGGTGGATCCGGCTGGAAAAGCCGGTTTTGGGGGTGATAAGGAAGGCTGCCAGCTCTCACCTCTGGAGGAATTTCTGGAAAGCTCGCCGATAAGCATAGCCCGCTCGGCGCACCCGGATATTCTCTTGCAGCCCCAAATATTCCACCTGGTGCTTGACCCTGGGAAGGGGGCAAAAATGGAGGGTCTTTGGGGCCCGCCTTTTCTACTCCTTCGCTGCCGTGACCCAAGGCACAAAGAGTGGGTCCCTGAAGGAGGGCTGGGGGGTTCTCTGTCTAAATGGGTGTTTCCTAATCTTATCAGGTTTAACAGGTGCGGACTTCAACTCCCAGAATTCCCCAGCCAACATGGCACCAGCCTTACCGGCTCTCCTCCCAATCTCGGGCCTTTTTGGTTTCGTTCGGCTTGACGCATCGGATGTAGTGAGGACTGCACTTCATCAGCGTGCCCACCAGAGTGTTGGCTTGTTTCTTTGGAGAGAAGGAAGGAAGGAAGGAAGGAAGGAAAGAAGGAAGGAAAGGAGGGAGGAAGGAAGGGAGGAAGGGAGGGAGGGAGGAAGGAAGGAAAGAAGGAAAGGAAGGAAGGAAGGAAAGGAAGGAAAGGAAGGAAGGAAAGGAAGGAAGGAAGGAAAGAAGGGAAGGAAGGAAGGAAAGGAAGGAAGGAAGGAGGAAAGGAAAAAAAACTGACTGCTGTTACCATCACCATTATCCTATGTGCAAACAGATTCCCCAACAGCAGAGGGGGGGGGTCTCTTTCTTCCAAGGGCTTAGGCAGTTTCTTTCTCTTTCTCTTAGGCAGTTCTGAAACTACCAAAGGTCTCCCCTTCCTGGCCCAGCCTGGGTGAGTCTCTCCCCCTCCCCAATTACCTTGATCTTGCTGCCTGCCGTGGTTGGGCGTCCCTTCTTCTCCGTGCTGAGGCTTTCGGGGAAGAGATCTCGGATGAAGGGGCTGGAGGAGAAGCAGAGGGGTTCAGTTCCCCAGAAGGGAGCCATCATCGCTCCCCAGCTCCAAGGAGCCTCTCCTCTGGGGCAGGTTTCACACACCCACTGCCCGTCTTCTCCCACCCTGGTTGAGGGAATCGGCTCTTAAAAGTTTATTTTAAGAGGCAGAGGCTTCAAAAGAGTCCTTTGGGTGCCACAGAGATGTTCCCTTTGGACAGAGACTGGCGCAGAAGGGAGCTTTAGGAAAATGGGGGAGAACAGGTGGGTGGCTGGGAGGGAGGGAGGGAGTCCTTCTAGGGTCATCGGATCGGGCAGCCCCCTCCCCACCAACCCCCCCCCCACCAACCCTCACATCTCACTGCTCTGCATCAGCTCGACCAGATCCGTGAAGAGCACGTCCCGGTTGCGTTCGCAGAAGCCTTCCACGTCATAGGAGACCTGCAGAAGTGGGGAAGGGGCTCTGAATTCCAACTGGCCCCTGGGGAGGGGAGGGTCCCCGTGGGCTGGATCGGGGTTCCCCGGGGCCCTGACCTTGCCAGCGTAGTGATGGATGATGAAGCCCTTGTTCCAGCTGTTGAAGTGGGGGTGTGCGCCCAGCGCCGACTGCAGCTTCTGCAGCAAGGTGTGGTCAGCCCCCTCGCCTTTGGCGTGCATGGTGGCGCAGACGTCGTCCAGGATGCTCATGAGTCCCGGGGGGTTCTGGGAAGGGGGGGGACAAGGAAGATAAAAGCAAAATACAACATGAAAAGCAGCAATGAATTCTGCTTCCCCTCACAGTAAAGCATAGTGTACCTACAGTATGTATGTGCATGGTGATTCTGCAAGGTTGTACAAAGATTCTGGAGAGAAGTAATTAGACTGACAGCGTTGATATCAGAAACTTTATCTACAGTCCCAAGGTATGTTCATTATTTAATGAGATAACTAATGGAACTAAAAACACAATGGTTCAATACATGATAGTTGCTGCAGGGTTGGCTATAGGACAATACAAGTAGTCCTCAACTTACAACTACTGTCTGATTCCGTCCTTTGGCCCAATCACAACTGTATCCTCCTTTTACTTATTCTATTTATTTATTTATCAAATTTCTGTACTACCCATCACCTGCCTTTTGGGCCAGTCTTTTTCTCCTCCTGCAAATCCAGAACTGGCCTGTTTCCTTGCAGATTTAAAGCAAGGTAATATTTTCCTCTGCTCCGAAATTTAAAATAATAATAATAATAATAATAATAATAATAATAATAATAATAATAATAATAATAATAATAATAATAATAATAATAATAATAATAATAATAATAAAGAGAATTGTTCTTCCTGTGCGTGGGCCAGTTCTTCCGTCAAGCCGCCTTAGAATTCCTACTTAACAGCCTATAAAATCCACGGCGCCTTGCAAGGAATTTAGCAGAGCCCAAAGTGATAAGATTTCGGGTCCTTTTCAGCCCCCTAGAAGTGGCGCCTTACAAATAGCTCTGTCAATAAATAAGGTCTACCTGACAAGGAGGTTTTTTTTTTTTTTTTACTGACCACTTTGTTCTCGATCAGATCACAAACGACTTTGTTGTTGAAATAATCAATGGGGCTCCATCGGATGCCCTCTTGGACGTATTCCTCCTGCAGAGAGGAAGAAGATGAAAGAGAACAGGAGAAAGAGTTAAAACAGGGAGAAACTGGCCAAAAATTAAACACAAGCTGATTTTGGCCTTGAGTTTTCCGGCTCTCAGTTTGCCAATCTGACTTTGGTTAAGTCGGATTAAGTTGGCAGCTTTTTCCCACTGGAAAATTCTCATTATGTATTATTATTAAAGAGATTTATATGGCCACCCAACTCACACATCGCTGCCCTGGTCCAAGTTTCTGATTTTTGCCCCATGGGCATGATTTTTAAAAATGCAAAAGGTTCCCCCTGCCCTTTTTTTTTCTTTTTTCTTTTTGTGCAAAAAAGTCGCTCACCTGCTCAGCCTTCAGGGTCAACTCGATGAAAATCTGCTGGAGTTTTTCGTTCACAAAATTGATGCAGAATTGCTCGAAGCCGTTTTTCTGGCAGGAGAGAAGGAGGAACTCAGAGCCGGCCACGCCGGGCGCAACCGAAGGGATTGCTCCTCCCAAGATTCAGCTCCCGAGGGTGTGCAAAATGTTAGTGTTGCATCAGTGGGCAACTGCTTCCCAACTGGTTCAGCTATGGGATCTCTTGATAAATTTCTGAGGCTCAACACAAAACTGCCCTTCCAGATCTTGGCCATCCAGAGTTCGGCATTGTGCACCCACAGGGATGGAATTATAAAACTGCTGTGTGGTGGGACTCCCTTCCAAAGAGGCCTTTGTTCCCTTTTGCTCAAGCAGAAAGGAATGGAATGCCTCGGAAGAGGCCTGCTGTTTTCACACACACACACACACACACACGCACGCACGCACGATGGATCTTTTTCCCAAAACCAGGTTTGGCTCAGCCGGGCTGCTCTGCCACAATGCCCCTCCGGTGGCACCCATCGGCTCCGTGAAACGAATCCACTCTCAACTCCGACTGACAGTCTGGGCCAGGGAAGAGGCTGGCATGAGAGGGAAGAGGCTGGCACCATGAGAAGGGGAGGGGACAGGGCAGGAAAGGAAGACGTCGTGCTGCAGGTTTACCTGGAAAATTTCAAAGCCGTAAATGTCCAGGACACCGATGTTGTATTCCTGGTGTTCCTTCTCCATTGCTTTGTTGACAGCCTGGGAAGAGGACATGGGCGGACAGGAGGAGGAGAGCAGGAGAAGGAGAAGGAGAAGGAGAGGAGAAGAGAAAGAAGGGAAGAGAAGAGAAGAGAAGAGAAAGAAGGGAAGGGAAGAGAAGAGAAGAGAAGGGAAAGAAGGGAAGGGAAGAGAAGAGAAAGAAGGGAAGAGAAGAGAAGAGAAAGAAGGGAAGGGAAGAGAAGAGAAGAGAAAGAACGGAAGGGAAGGGAAGAGAAGAGAAGAGAAGAGAAAGAAGGGAAGAGAAGAGAAGAGAAAGAAGAGAAGAGAAGAGAAGAGAAGAGAAGANAGGAGAAGGAGAAGGAGAAGAAGATGAAGAAGATCAGCCGTGGGTAAACAGGGCTCCCCATGGCACGGCAAGAGCGAAGCTAGCCCAAAATTCACGGGCTCGGCTCTCTTTTTCATCTAATAGCTTATTTTGATAAACTCTGCTTTTGAAAAGTGGCCGTGCCAGCTCTAGCCTCTCCCTCAAAGTAAAATTGGGGTCTTTTTCCGCTGCTGAAATGTTCAGAGCAGATCGGGAGCCTCCCGAGACAGTTTTCCTGGGGACAAAACGGCAGGAGGCAAAAGTCGTACGGGACTCACTGATGCCCCAACCGGCTCTTTTTCTCTGGGACCCGAACCAGCTTCGTTTCCCCCCCCCCCAGGGTCCCTTCCCCCTGCCCCAGAGCTCCCCCAAGCCTCCCTCCGGAGGAAGCAGAGGCTCTGAGTTAAATATGACAGGAGAAATATTCCCGGCTGACAGATGCTTGTTTTTAAATCTGGCGGGTTTTTTTTTTGCCCTTCCAACTTCAGGCTAGGAAGCTGAGCAGCGTGGAAAGGCTACAATTCCATCGAGGAATTGGTTGCAAGCAGGTGGCCAGGGATCATGGGGGATGTAGTCCAGGATGGCAGACTCAGGGGTTGAGGAATGCTCCCCCACCCACCCTCTCCTCCTGGGTGCATTTTCTCAAAACGTGGGTGGGAAAGAGGGAATCGGCCCCTTCGGTCCCCACGTCCTTACCAAAGTCTCTTGAAATTCCTGTCGGTCATTCATGTCGTCCACCTTATACGCCGCCGACTGGTTGAGGTAGTAGTAGTAATCCGGGCTGGTGATCCCCAAATTCTCCCGCTGCTCCGGGCTGGCTCCCTCCAGCAGCTGCATTCACACAACGGGGGTCAAGGAGGCAGGTTCAAAATGCCGCAAGGAAAGACAAAACTTTTGCTCTCTTGGTTTGCAGCAGGACTGACAGCCGTGGGCAAGGGTGGGGACGATGGGGCTGGGAGTCAGTCCCATCCAGAGGGTCACAGTCGGGGCCTGTTGGGCACAGGGACCTTCCTCGGCCACTCACCCACCTGGTAATAGATGTGGAAGCTCCTCTCTCCGGAATTCTGGCTGACCACCCGGGATTTCTCCAGCAAGAAATTGTAGATTTTGCCGCCGTCTGGCTCTCCACCGCGGCTGAACTGGATCTCAAAGTATTTACCCTGGGGAAAAAACAGGGAGGGTCTTAAATGGCCCCCTTTTTGTACTCCCCGGTTTCCTCTCTTGTTCCTTTTCTGTGGCGCATCCAGAATTTTCATGCACCTGCGTAAATTTTCAATATTGTGTGTCTGGTGATGGGCTTAGAATAATCAATGAGGCTTTTACCGGTTTCTTTGGACCCTGTAATTGTCACCAGAAGCACTAGGGGGCAGCACTCATCCAAGCTTGGCTGGTCTCAAAAAGCTCTTCAGGGTCAGGCCACCACCAGGAGATCCCGGGGAAGCATTTTGGATTGGAAAGGCAAGAGAAACGCCTTAGAAGAAGACAGAGCTTTAAAAGACTTTAAAAGAAAGGTAGAGGGACGTAGAGACGGAGTCACCAGGAGCCAGTTGTACACACACTTGATCGATTTAGGATCTGACAGGCCCCTCCCCAGGCCCCGCCAGCACTCACAAATCGACTCGAATTGTTGTTTCGCACAGTCTTTGCGTTCCCAAAGGCCTCCAGAAGGGGATTGGATTTCAGGATGATGTCTTTTACGTGCTGAAATGGAAGAAATGTTATTTATTTTACCTATTATTTATTTTTTATCCTGCCTTTATCTTTCTTATAAATAACTGCAGGCAGCAAATATACCTCAGACTCCTTCCTTCTCCCATTTTCCCCCACAACAACAACCCTGTCAGGTGGACCAGCCCAAGGTTGCCCGGCCAGCTTTCGCGCCCAAGGTGGCGCTAGAACTCCCAGCCTCCCAGTTATTTCACACCGGGGCAAGCCGCTCACCTGAACGCCGGGCCCTCCGCCGGACACCTTAGAAATGTAGCCCATGATGTATTTGGCCGCCACCGTCTTGCCAGCTCCGCTCTCCCCGCTAGGAGGGAAAGAGGGGGGGGAATCAAGCCTGAAATGAGCTTTCAACAGACCCCCCCAATCATTCCCCCCCCAGTGAAGCCCCCAGCCTCACCTGATGATGACACACTGGTTCTCCCCATCGATCAACATGTTGCGGTACATCTGATCCGCCAGGGCGTAGATGTGGGGAGGGTTTTCGTACTGGGCCTGGGTGAGAGGGACACACACACACGTAGATGGAGGCCCTGAGCATCTCAGCACATCCCATGGGTAGCTAGAGGTCATCTAGTCCAGCTGGACCCAAACTGGAATCTTTGCTGTTCGGAGCCCATCGTTCCCAGGGGCAAAGATTCCTCCACATGGGTTCAAANCCCCCCCCAGCCCCAGGTCATTCCTTTCCCTTTAACCTTCGCTCCACTTCCCTTGAATGATAAAACCTGGAATATTCACGCGCTCTGAATTGCAGGCCCGGAGGGAGGGCGGACAAGGTCTCAGATGAAGCCGAGCGCCCCATCCAGAAGTTTGGGACTGCCAATCCCATCAGCCTCTGCCAGCATAATCAGTGGCCAAGGATCACGGGAACGTGACCAAAAATATTGGAAATATTGAAAGAGCTGGTTGATCTGGAGATATAAACTTTCTGCCCTTCATAATAAAGGAACCTTATTTCTTCGCTGCAAGCCAGGTGTGCGTGTGTCTGTTTGTGTGTCTCTGCGATGCAGCCCCACAAACCTTTAACTTGGGTGCTACCCTGAAAAGCTCACTGCTGGGTTTGTGCCAGCCACGCGGGCTCCCCAGGTGTGTCTCTACACGTGTTGCCCCAGCGAGGAGACACTCGGGCAGGCTCTTTGCAAAGCCCTCCTCTGTCTGGCGAGCCCCCCCCCTTAAAAAAAAATCCCACCTTTAAAAAAAAAAAAGACGTCTCCGGAGCTGTGGAGTCTCCCCACGGAGCCCCGACGGCACCGGGCCGCTTACAGGAGCGCCTCCCGCGCCGACCCGGGAGAAACCGGGGCAAAGCGTTGGCGGAGAGTTCTTCCCGGGACAGAGTCTTGGCCTGAGCAGGGGGGCCGGCTGGATGGCCTCAAGGGGTCCCTTTGAGCCCCAGAAGGCGCCGGCCAGCCGGGGAGACGGGCGGGGGAGGCAGCGGAGCTACTTTTGTCTGTCACTTTGAGAACTTTAAGCAGAATAAACAGACTTTTCAGCCGGTGCTCCAAACCCGGCCAAGCAGGAAGCGCGGCGGAAAACCGAACCGGGGCTCCTCCGGGGCGCTCAGCCGCCCCTCCGCGGCCGCCGGGGAGGTGGGAGGGGGGTCCCCGAGATGCGGTGCCTCTCCGCCAAAGACTCTTTCCCCCCCCCCGGGCACGGAACTCGGCGGGGGCGTCCGGGGTCGGTCGCGGGGTCTCTCTCCCATCCCCCCCACCGGGCTCTGTCCCCCCCCGCGGGAAAGGGGGGGGCTGAAGGGGGCGATCCCCCCCCAAGGAGGAGGGGGTCCCCGGAGCCCCCAAGACTCACCATGGTGCCAACCGGCTGCGCGCCTCGCCCGCCGCGGCTCCGGTTGCTCGGCGCGCCTTGGCAGGTGGAGGTCGGGTTGGGGGTGGGGGGTCTCAGGGGGCCGGCATGGCGCCCCCGCCGGGAGACTCGGCTCTGACGCCCCTGCCCCGATGGGAGGGACGGCGGGCAGACGGGCGGGCGGCTCCCCCGGGCCGGAGCGGCAGACAAAGCGCGGCCGGCCGGGACAGGCTCCGACAGGTAGAGGCGCTCCGGGTTGAGTTTCGGGCAGGGGGGGCGGGGGAGCGGGCGGAGGAGGGGGCTGCCGGGCGCCCCCTGGCGGAGCGGGCCGCCACGCGCGGGCAGCCGCGGGCCGGAGCTTGGCGCACGCGCGCCCCCTGCCGGAGCAGCCTGGAAGTCTCCCTCCCCCCCCCACCCCAAACCGAGATTCCTTCCCGACGTTTCTCCGACCGCTCGGCCCGGATGTCGGCTTGCTTCAAGAGGGCGCGCGGGTGGTTTTGGAAACCCTAAAGGAACGGCTGCTGCAATTGGGGGATGTCTAGTTTAATATGAAGGACGAGGGGGGGACAGGATAGCAGGGTTCCAGTATCTCAGGGGCTGCCCCAAAGAAGGAGTCAAGCTATTCTCCAAAGCGCCTGAAGGCAGGACGAGAAGCAACGGATGGAAACTAATCAAGGAGAGAAGCAACCTGGAACTAAGGAGAAACTTCCTGATAGTGAGAACAATTAACCAGTGGAACTACCTGCCTCCAGAAGCGGTGGATGCTCCAACACTGGAAGTTTTTAAGAAGAGACTGGACAGCCATTTGTCTGAAACGGTGTAGGGTTTCCTGCCTGAGCAGGGGGTTGGACTAGATGACCTCCAAGGTCCCTTCCAACTTTATTATTATTAACAACCTGCCTCCAGAAGCTGTGAATGCGCCAACTCTGGAAGTTTTTAAGAAGAGACTGGACAGCCATTTGTCCGAAATGGTATAGGGTTTCCTGCCTGAGCAGGGGGTTGGACTAGATAACCTCCAGGGTCCCTTCCAACTTTATTATTATCTGGACAGAAGAGCTAACTCGTCACCAGCTGCTGATCGCCAGAAAGGGAGGCGGGGGGGGGGGCTTTCTGGCTTCCAAACTGGGGTTCAGCCTGGAGAGCAGCATCCCCGCCGCCCCCGGACAGTGATGCCGGTCCCAGCAAGGGGCTTCACCCCCAAGCCCACCCCCTCTTTCTTAGGACTTTGCTTGTTAGATTGGAGACCTCGGTTCCCTCAATGGGTCCGATTCTGGGAAGAGGAACCCCTTCCCCACTTCCGTGGGGTCTTAAGAGTGGTGCCCCATTGCTCTACTGCTCCCCAAAAGTGCCTCTGAGGGCACCCCGCTCTGGAAGGAGGCAGGGGGCTATCCGGAAGGCCCATCTCCAAAAGCTTCTCCCCCCTCGCCCACAAAGACCTGTTCAGAGAAGCCTCAGCAGGGCAGGGGGCACAAGGAAAGAGCAAAGACGGGGCAGGAGGGGGGTCTTTGCCAGCTGGGGAGGGGTCCACACAGTAAGGCTGCCACAGGAGATGTGCTCAGGCCACCCAGTTGGGCTTGGGAAACCCTGCTGGGTGCATCTACTTGATGAAACCCGGTGTACAATTCCAAATCTGACACAAGGAAGGCGGAATGACTCTCCTGGACCATGCCAAGGCAGGTAAGCCAGGCATGGGGGTCCAAAATCTCCTGGCAAGGGGTCCCTCTGGCTCAGCACCACAGCCCTGCAGGGCCACCCCACCCCCAAATTGTCTGTCTGATCTCCCACCCAAGCTGCTGCAAACCTCTGCACCGCCCTGCTCCTCTTGGGGTGAGGGGCTGCTCTTCTTGGGGTGAGGGACGTTGCAATCCAATCCATGCAATAAATAAATAAAAAATAAAGAAACCAGTCCACCAGGAGGGCATTGCGTGGGGCACTCCTAATATAACATAACATAAGGGTTTTCCCAAGTGTTTTAGACCAACTTTTAAAAAAGGCCTCTTATTCTTGCAACTCCCCCTTTTTTTAAAGGTTTCCCAACAACCAGCTGCTTCTTCCTTCTTTTGTGTGTGTGTGTGGGGGGTTGTGTTTATGTTTCTGTCTATGTGGGGGGACGGGGGAAGCCCAGAGGTAATTTAAAAACACCAAAGGCCCAGTTAAGGCACCCCCTTTCCTCCCTTCTCCATCCCAGCAGCTGTTTCCCACGTTAATTATCACTCGACAATTAACAGATTCTTTTGTTTTTTTAAAAAAAAGGAGGGGGGGGAGAGCTTTAAGC